GGGAGCAATTCTGGCGTGCCTGGTCGCATGATTATTTGTTGTCGCTTCAGACGAGAACCAAGTAGCGAGACGCCGCGCCAAATTTAGAAGTCGGTGATCTCGTCATTGTAAAGAACTCTTTGCTCCTTCCGAGCAAATGGGAACTCGCGAGAATCCAGCAGGTTCATCCCGGGTCCGATGGACTCGTCCGGGTGGTTACGATACGCACTGCGCGTTCTCTACTGAAGCGACCTATAACGCAACAGTACAAGTTGCCTATAAATTGTAAAGCGTCGGCGTCAGAAAGCGACTGATCGCCCTTTCTCCTTCTTGTTCGTTTTCTTTTGTTTTGTTTTGCGCCGATCCTTGTCAGCATCGCGCGCTTAGTTTGTACGTATCACGTATAAAACGTTCAATATATCAAGTTTGATTATATACATACTTTCTAAAACGTTAACGACTGTACTCATTGAAATTCCAGTTTAATTCTGTTCGTTATATTACTTTAGGCTTTTGTCGCGTCGGCTATCTTATTCGCGGAACAAGCGAAACCGACCGATGGATTGTATTTTGCCCCTACTTCTAGAGCGAGTTAAGACGTGTTGTACATTTAGCGTTAATTACTTTATTGTGTTTTCGTCCCTACCTATAAGGTCATTTGAGGTTCTTTATTCGGCTAGCGTCAATCACTGTCGCCCTTTGCGTTCCTTAGCTCGCGCTGCGACTAAGAGAGAGTATCTTCGATCTCGCCACGTTTTTTGCTGTATTTCGTATCCGGCGTATACGAGGCGGTCGGTATGTTCGGAATTAGAGCGTTAATTCGTGCGGTCGTCGAGATCGCTCGAGAAACTTCTTCGCTTCGAATCTTTGTTGATTCGACTTTCGAGCAATGTCGACGTCGAGAGCGAGTGTTTGTGTGCCGATGACGACGAGAGTCTTTCGACACAGAAAAAAGGCCCTCGTCGTACTTGGTGTGTTACCCCCGTGATTCGTCGCTCGTTGCTGGGCCGATGTTATCGACGAATCGCGTTATCGCTTCCAAAATCAAAGCCGCGAGCCGTTCGAGTTTGCGCGACGAAAGTCAGTACGAATCTTGAGAGCGACGGGTCGAAAGGGCTCCGTCGAAGCGTCCGAGCGAACCCGGCGCAAAAATAAATCGTCTTAATTGTCGTAACGGGGGAACCAGATCGAAGACTCCCGCCACCGGCAACAATGAGCATTTGACAAAATGGGCTCCAAAACTGACATAGTAAGCAATAATACCAACATTCCTATTTTATAAATAAAGATATATCCTATTCTGTAAAGAAAATTAATTTATGAAACTATAAACATTTAAAATGACATAATATTATCAATAATACAGTCACTATTATTTTAATTACGCAATTTGCAAAAGAACATCGTGAAAATTCTCTTCCAGGATTCATAGAATTGGTTTTTAGTTGGTTTGGTATAGAAATAAGCCACAAATATATGAATTATGAGTTTGTACTTCTTTAATTAGCTAAACAGATCATGATTTTATTAGAATTAATAAAGTGCAATAGTTAGTTTCTGAGAAATAAAGGGGTGTCACTTTAGGAGACCTATGTCAGTATCGGCGACTTTCCTCTATAATATTATATTCCCTAATAACACAGGGACATTCTATGGACATCCCGTGGACGTCCTGCCGGCTAAACGGACATCCACAGGATGTCCTATTGTAGTCCAAGGACGTCCTATGGACTATGACATGAGCGTCTCATTATGTCCTACATACATCCGCTGGACGTCCATTGTAGTATTATCGGGGATTAATTTAGGATATGTTCAGGACTATTTTAGGACTTTCAGGATGATTTCAGAACTATTTCAGAATATATTAAAAGTAAAACGAAATGACCACATCCACTCACAGAAACTGTAATGTCCGGCGCGCTATACTATAGCACTCCGGCCGTCTACCACGGCTACGCGAACGCGAGCGCACAGTATAGCAAATGATATAATACGTGCCGCGAGAACCTATAGCATATGCT